CGAAGAATGGGAGAAGGTGGGGGCACCAAGAAGTATAAGGAGTGTGTTGAGTGGTTACTCCATCCCATTTGTGTCGAGGCCGAGACTGACCCCACTAACTCCAAACAATTTCGCAACCCTTGGCATGAATCAAGAAATAAAAAAGTTGGTCGAACAAAAAGTTCTAGAAAAGTCGACATTCCAGGCAGGGTATCTGTCAAAAATGTTTACAGTTCCGAAGTCGGACGGCAGTCTCAGGCCTATTTTCAACCTACGAGGCTTAAACAAATATCTCTGCCCCAAGAAATTCCGTCTTCTCAACCATTTCAAAGTTCCCAGCTTCCTTCAAAAAGGAGACTTCATGGTGAAGATAGACATATCTCAGGCGTATTTTCACATACCGATCAAAAACGAGCATCGGAAGTTCCTCTCGATATCCCACGAAGGAGATGTTTATCAGATGACATGCCTCCCGTTTGGTCTATCAAGTGCCCCGTTAGCCTTTGCGAGAGTGTCAAACTGGTTAGCAAATCAGTTGAGGTCTCAAGGCATGAGGATAATTGTTTATCTGGACGACTTCCTCATGGCTCACCAGGATGCTCAACAGCTTTATCACCAGTTGGTAGAGGCAATTTCATTTCTCGAAAGGTTGGGATGGATAATAAACAAGGAAAAGTCTTTAGCATTGCCACAAACAGAAGTGGAGTACCTAGGAATTTGCTGGAATACTCTGAACAACACGAAGTTTCTTCCTCGAAAGAAACAATTGTCAATCAGGAAAGATCTGAAGGTTATCCTAGAAAATCGGCGATGGAGTTGGGATCTAGCAAAACGCCTGCTGGGAAAATTGAGTTTCGCTTCATTTGTGATCCCCTTGGGCAGGCTTCACTCCCGATACATTCAAAGAGCGAGTCTTGCTTTGCCAGCTCGATTACCTCGAAAACTCATTGCAGTACCGTTGATAGTCGTAGAGGAATGCCGATGGTGGTCCAAGAATTTGGAAATGACGTCCCCTTTATTTCCCAGAGATCCGGAAATTTTTCTGACTACAGATGCCTCGAACACTGGATGGGGAGCGCAAGTGGGAAGCAAAATTATCAGTCGAAGATGGTCGCCAATTCAACAATCGTGGCACATAAACAAGAAGGAACTATATTCGGTTTATGCGGCAATTCGTCTGAGTTGGAAAGAACTAAAAGGAAAATCTGTCCTGATACAGTCCGACAACAGGACAGTTATATCCTATATCAGGAACCAAGGAGGGACAAGGTCTCTCAAACTATTGGAGATTTCATCGAAACTTCTCATATTTGCTCACAGACAGCAAATTGCTCTGACCGCTTGTTTCATCCCAGGAGTTTACAACGAAATTGCGGACAGTCTATCACGAGAGAAAGCAATGGCGGATTGGCATATTTCAACCAGTGTGCGTCACCACATATTTCAGAAGTGGGGAATACCTCAGATAGATCTTTTCGCGTCAAAGGACTCGAAGGTTGTACCAAGGTATGTCTCCAGAGATGTGAGAGATCATCTAGCAATATTCACCGACGCATTCAGCAGGACTTGGAACTTCAAACTAGCTTGGATCTTCCCTCCTCCGTCTCTCATCCCGCGAGTCCTTCACCATCTCAACTCGGCGAAAGGAACATACATTCTCATAGTTCCCAGGTGGGAGAAAGTATTTTGGAGGGCAGATCTCAAAGCCCGTGCCTTAGCCCCTCCGTTTCAAATCCGGAACCTTCAGCATCATCTACTGGATGCAAGGACAGGGAAATCGCTTCCCAATGCTCAAAATCTACATTTGGAGGTTTGGAAGGTACGGGGTGGGCCAGGTTTACCAGTGATTGGCATGAAGAAGATATCAACCTATTACATAAATCGTGGAGATACTCGACATTGAAAACATATTCTGCTCCTTGGAGAGGCTGGATATTATGGGCAAATCAGAATAACGTGGAGACCAATGACCCTGATCCAGGGGATGTCGCCAGATATCTTGGTTATTTGCATAGAATCAAAGGTTTATCTCCAGCCACTATAAAAGTGCACAAATCAGTGATATCCACCATGGCTAACCCCGAGAAGAATAACTATGTATCAAGCCACCCTTTGGTAAGGCATATGATGAAGGCCATAGATATCAGTAGACCGCCATCTAATAAGAAGATGATATGGGATGTAAATAAACTCATCTCATGGATCCGAAGAGAACCGAAAGTTCAGTCCAGTCTTTTCCAAGTTTCAAGGCGTTTGGCACTGATTTTGTTGTTAGCTTCAGGTCGCAGAATACATGATCTAACTCTTCTGCGTATCGATAATGATAAAATATGTATCGAAAAAGATTGTATATCCTTCTGGCCAGTCTTTGGTTCCAAGACTGACAGATCTTCTCACAGACAGTCGGGGTGGAGGTTATCTAGGTGTTCAGAAAGAGCACTTGATCCAGTATTTTGGACGAATAATCTCATCAGCTTATCAGCGAAACGTCGAGAGTGTAAGACAAACCTTCACGATCTCTTCATTAGTACTAGGGGAAAGGTTGCGCCTGCATCGAGAACAATGATAGCTGGATGGATCAAAACAGCATTCAAGGAAGCGGGAATTGAATACTCTCCAGGAAGCATTCGTTCAGCAGTAGCTTCATCTAGGTTCGAGAACGAAATACCCTTGGATATAGTCCTGAAGAAAGGAAATTGGAATGGAACGGACAATTTCTTCAAGCATTACTATAAAGAGATAGAAAGAGCCAGTTTCACAAAACCAGCATTAATTTGCGAAACCTTCTCCACAATTTGATTTTGTGTTACAATGCTCAAATTTTCCAAAGAATGTACCTGTTCACGTGATCTCTTCAATTTTATTTTGGGTATCGAATGCCGATTTAGTTTATGGTACCTTTCAAGAGTATCTGTTCATTTAGTATAGGGTAATGAATTCTTTATGTTACCACAGGCTAGATATTTTGAGCCATGAGTTGTTTCCTACAGGTTCACATTTAACTTAGTGTTATACTATTTCCAATAAATGACACATTGTTTCTCAGTAATATTTTCTTTGGATGCAGAGCAGAAAGGATCTCTTATTTAATATCTATAATCACAGTACGCATTTCCGCGTCGTCAGAATCCAAACACTTCTCATAAGGGGTCAAGCCGACGGCACAGACATGAAATATAAAACGTTTTTCCCCCGAAGGGTAAAAAACGATATATTTCAGGTCTTGCCTAGGCTTGACCCCAGTAATTTCTTGACGACTTTCTATAAAAGAGTACTAACAAATCCCCGCGGCACAGGACAGGTAAGTCAGGAGAAACAGATGACAGCCTGACGCGGGGCTGACGTGACGCGGAATAAACATGGAACAGGCGTGAAAGAGTGACGTACTGGAAGGAAAATGGGAGATGTAATCTCATAAGGGGTCAAGCCTAGGCAAGACCTGAAATATATCGTTTTTTACCCTTCGGGGGAAAAACGTTTTATATTTTTCGAGTTATAAGAAAAATTAAATGCAAAATATATGTTTTTTTTTTTCATATTTTTCAAATATCTCAACAAATATAGAGAAATTGATAGAGACCATGAAGAAAGTCTTTGTAGGCAATTCATTTTCAAGTATTTTGATTCTTTTTTTATCTCCGTAACATGATTAATAACGGAGATACAGGTATTTGAAAATTTCACCCCTAAAGTGGGTGCAGGGGGTGAATGACGCGTGTCTGGGATGTCCAACAAGTGGATTCATGAATGGTAGGGACCCCTTTGAAATGTGTAATGGGTCGCTATATTCAATCATTAAAATGCCGCGAAAAACCGATTGAACCTCTACTAATTGGAGATATCGTATTAATTACATTTTCACAAGTTTCGAAAATTTCTTTATATATCCAATTCACATCAATGGCATCAAGTGACCAATTTGCTTGTAGAAGTTCAATATTTATCGATAGCAAATTATTACTGTTGAAGTTTCTGAATTTTTTTGTTTTTTTATCACTGTCGTGTTCATTGAAAATATTAACAGAAATTACTGAGTGATCTGTTATCGCAGGACTTGCATGTACTTTCGCTGTAATATTACTTTGGTTTGACAAAACATAATCGGTCAAAACAGCTTTCATGTCCGTATCTCAACTTTTGATTTTCTATCTACTGTCATAATTGGAACAGATACAGGGTGATCAGAATCTTGAACCACACACACTGTATTATGTTCCAATTAAATGTCAGTAGATAGTGAATCAAAAGTTGAGGTAAAAAAATCTCGATTTTGATCACTCTATATCTCTGTAATCATTCCCGCTAGACCCCAAGTGTGATGCATTGATGAAATCAGCTATTCAGGGAGAATCAGAAAATACAATGAAATATGAAATACATCAGGGTGATCCATTTGAAAAAATCAAGAAGTACTCTGTAGATCGTTTGTTCCGCGAGCACCTTGTATTTTCTGATGCAACGGAAGGACATTTCTGAAAAATCACTTTAGATGATTTTTCAAATTTTCAAATCGGTTCAAAAACAAGTGAGCTAGAGGAGGGGACATTCATGGTGAATCACCCTGTACATTGTATGTCTTCACTTTCATTCCCTGCTTATCTGATAACAAATTGTGCTATATTATTTCACAATCAATGTCATCTCACATGTAATGTTGAATTTCAACCAATGACATCTCTACATCTAATCACACATCAGTTGAACGAATTAATTATTTAATTATTCAACTGTGATCTTATAGAGCTTCAACACAGTTCGAAGAATTAATATATTAATTCTTTCCATCGTAGCCTTATTATTTAAGAGAAGGTCAGATGGAATCAAGAATTTTGCTTACATCTGTTATTACAGCGCGGTAAAAAAAGTATAGTGTATAACTCGCACGGAATGCTAATTTCCCACTCGTATAATTTGCTAACTTACATTCTCAAGGGAAATGACTATAATTTCGAGCTCGTTGAATACTATACTATTTCAATACATGAACCGTGAGCCAGTGGGGGCAAGGCGCCCCTCTTGCCCTGAAATTGAGACGCCCATGATAATTGCTATCTGGCTATATACTCATCGAAGATTCGAAATCGCCCACCTCTACTCGGCCACCGAACTCTGCACACACACAAACGTCACGTGATATCCTACTTGATTCAGCGGAATCGGAATGCGCCGACTGCCGATGTTTCACGTTCGAGTCGTTCGCTTGTCGGTTCGGCTGCTTCCGCCGGAGCTCGGCTGAAGTATGAATTCGTCGGAGATTTCTTGTTGACTGTCGTTGTCGTTGTTTTGTTACGAGTTTATGAGGGAGTTTCGTCACAGTTGTTTACGTTTGTACGTGTCGCTCATCGAATTTTCGCATCATTAGTGTTTTCCTTGGTTTCTAAATCTTATATCTTGTTACCTACCTGGTACTTTTGTATTTATTCAGTTTAGCTGGTCATTGCAATGAGAAAGTACGTAGGACCAATCCGCTGTTCCGTACTAGGCTGCAAAAATACGAATTTAAACAGTTCCAGGAGTTTCTTTCGGTTACCAAAATGTAAAAAACGGTAAGTTAAAAAACACATACCTACTTACCTATCTCTGTCTATAGGTATAGGTGCGCGTAGCTAACTATACCCTAACAACACGAGTACATCCTAGGGACTTCCCAGGGACGTCCCTAATTTCGAATAAGGACATCCCAGGGATATCTTTTCTGGGACAAAGTACATACTAGGGACGTCCCAGGGACATCCGCTTTCAGACAAAAAGGACATCCCAGGGATGTCCCTCCTGGTACGTCCCTGGGATGTACCGAGTACAAAGAAGGGATATCCCTAGGACGTCCCAAGGATATCCCAGGGACATCCCTTCGACAAAAGAAAAAAAAAGTAGGTCTAGTTGGGATTGAACCCGGGACCTTCAGCTTATCAGGCACGCACCTTACTCCATTGGCCAATATGCCTTCTGAAGATTCATGTATTGAACAGATTTATAAACAGGACAACTACAGAAACCTGGATAAATAAAACTGTTAGGATTCGGGTATAATTATTATCATTCTTGGGTGTTTGAAAATGAGGGGCATTATGCATTTACGATCTCTGTTTGCGAAAAATGGTCATTTCTTGAGAAGTTTTGAGACTATATTCTTTATTTTCATCACAATTATTTTCCGGAAGAAATACATTTTCGAAAAAATTCGACTCAATATTTTGATGATATTGAATGACTCTCTGATGTGAAGAATGGATATCAGATATTCCAGGGACACGAATGGGATAACCTAGGGATGTACCGGGTGGGATGTCCACTGGACAACTACTGGCGGGACATCCCCTGGATGTCCCAATCATTTCCTTGTACCGCGGGACATAAAAGGGACGCACCTAGGACATCCCTGTGTTGTTAGGGTATATGCATACTTATTTGTACAGATACCACAATGAGAGTATACCATACCTATACCTACATTCATAATGATTTTCACGAAGCAATAACACTATACGTTATAGTACAGGGTGAGATGTTAATAATTCTTCTGTGTACAGGGGGGTGTTTTTTCTTCGTTATTTGTCATCTTCCTATTCGTGTTTTATTTGACATTGACACTCCATGTTTCAAGGTTGGGAGATGCATGTGATTTATATTCATTCAGCGCCGTCTGGCGATTTGTGTTCTCAGCAAGTTGTTTGAGCTATAGTAATATATACACAGGGTGTCCCGAAATTACATAGAAACATTTCAACCACAGATTCTAGAAACAGAAATAGTGTAAAAAGTGTATGTGAACATGAGCCCAGAAATGGTCCCCTGGGGATATAGTTATACACTCGGTTATACAGGATGTCCGATTTTCGAGCTCCACCATGGGGGATCTCAGTTATTATAAGAGATACGAGGTCGGTTAGGGAAAAGTTGCACATTTTTAGTATTTGAATTATTGGAATAAAACGAAAATTTATAATTTTTTTTTCAAGCGGAAATCAAGAGACCCAGATGTTTCTGACTGGGACATCCTTGAGGCACTTTTTACAAGGAATCTGAATCTGTCATTGTATTTTCCATGACGTTCTTGATGACAAAGTTACAACACACAACTTTGTTTTTTCTTATTGGCGCCATATGGGATTTCTGCATTTTTGAAAAGTAATATATTTTCTGATTACAATGATGTATCACACGATATGATCGAATTTTTCCTGTTGATCAAAATTGGGAAAAAACATTTTTGCGAAGAGTTCTTCGAAAAGAACGCTAACAGTTTTGTTTAAACAAGCTGGATTTCGACAGTTCATTTTGAATTTGGATCTGGAACATTCACAGTTTCGTCAAGCTCATCTACTTAAAAACTATGGTTTCGAATTAGGGACGACGTAATAAGCTAGAAGTTTATTCTTCGCAAAACAGAACAAAATGAAGTTATAAATGATGCTCGAATACTCCAGCTTCCACTTCTGAACAAAATTAGGTACGCGTTTCCTCAGATTCTGAATTGCTCCCGTCTTCTTATCTTAGTCCTGAAAGGGGTGATTATGGTTCTTCTCAGCACATCATCGATCGGTACAGTTTTGAAAATCAAATCTTTCATATTTCCCAATAAATAATAATCCAGCTGAGAGAGATCAGGTGACCGCGCTGGCCAACGTATGTCTCCGTTCTTAAGAAATTAGGTACCTTGTCGGGGAACATATATCTAACAGACACTCGGCAACACTTTTTGCCTCGCTTTTTGCGTTATGTGGATAAGCATAAGAATTCAACAGTTCTGTTCACGTATTCAATTGAACTGTCAAAATTCAGTTTGTCAAACAAAACTGTTGGCGTTCCTTCCAAAGCACTCTTAGCAAGAACGTTTTTTTTCCAATTTTGATCAACAGGGAAGATTCGATCATATCTTGTGATACATCATTTTAATCAGAAAAAAAAAACTTTTCGATAATGCAAAAATCTAATATGGCGCCTATAGGAAAAAACAAACTTGAGTATTCTAACTTTGGCATAAAGAACGTTATGGAAAATACGATGACAAATTCAGATTCCTTGTGGAAAAATGACTCAAGAATGTCCTAGTCAGAAATGTCTAGGTCTTTTGGTTTTTGCTTAAAAAAATAAAAACGAAAATAACAAATTTTCATTTAGGTACTCGTTTAGGTACTTCAAATAATTCAAAAACTGAAAATTCCACATCGAATTGTCTTGCAGATGAATGTTGAGCTTGAAAATTTGCTTCACCCTAATTTAACCGACCTCGTATCTCTTATAATAACTGAGATCTCGATGGTGGAGCTCGAAAAACGGGCACCCTGTATAGGCATCTGAAAGAGGGCCCAAGATTATGTATTTTTGTAAATATTTCTGAAACCCTGTTGAGATAACGAAATTTCGTACATGCATATTAATTTTCGTACCTGACTTCCGAAATTTTGATCAGGGGCGTGGGAAAAAGGTACAATTTTTGGCAGTTTGGCCAGGAAATATGAAAATATCATCATTTTTACTCGAAAATGATCCTTATGTTAAGTTTCGATAGCACTCACCTTTTTTGAGATAAATCGATTTCAAAAGTCTGCTGCAAAAATATTGTTTCTTCGTTACATTTTTCCAAAAATTATTTTTCGATGGGAAAAGCCGAGGGAAAAGCCTTTTTTCAACATCTACTTGTGATATGTGACTCAAAATATGAAAGCAACAATTAAAAGAATAATTTGAAGAATATTATGGTAGATACACCCTATTAAAAAAAGGTTATATTTTTATTACTCAGCAGACTTTCGAAATCGATTTTTCTAGAAAATTGTAAGTGCTATGGAAACTTAACAGGAGTATTGTGAAAATGGTGATATTTTCATATTTCCTGGTCAAACTGCCGAAAATTGCATAAAAAAAAAAGTTGGGGAAAAAATGCCCCTATATAGCCCCACCTATTTCACAAGTCCCTGATAAAAATTTCGGAAAATTCTCATCTTCAAATCGGGCATGAAAAGTAATATAGATATTCACAAAATTTGGTCATCTCAATAACACAGAGAGTTTCGGAAATATTTACAAGAAACCATCATCTCGGGCCCTCTTTCAAATAGTATTATAACTCCCAAGGGGACACTTTCTGGGCTCATATATGTTCACATACACTTTTTTTACTATTTTTGTTCCTATAAACTGATTAGAATCTTTCTACGTAATTTCGAGACACCCTGTATAGACCTTCGAGAAATATTAACGACCTCGTTATAACGACATACTAGATAATATACCTGCATATACAGTGTGACCCACTTCTGATGGAAACACCCCTGTATCTTACATAATCGTTAGGTAAGGACCCTGAAATTTGCTGGAGCGAGAGATAGCTCGAAAATCAATTCAGATTTGGAATCAGGACGCCCATTTCACTAAACTATTCACATTTTTCTTGGAAATTTTCAGTTCTGAGAAATTGAATGTTGTCGCACAATTTACGGAAGCACCCCCGTATTTTACGTAATTGAATTTATCTTTGGACTCTCCCTTCCTCCTGCAAATTTCAGAACCCTACCTCAATAATTACGTGAGATACGGGGGTGCTTCCATGAGAAGTGAGACAAAATTCAATTTTTCTGAACTGAAAATTTCCTAGGAGAACTATGAATAGTTAGAGAATTGGGCGTCCTGATTCCGAATCCGAAGTGATTTTCAACCTATTTTGACTCCTAATATCATTTTTCTGAAATTGGGGTAGTTCCGTGGCTGTTGGCGAGCAGTGTATATCACTGGAGATGACCCCACTTGGTCATAGAGTGCATTTTTGGTATATTTCACTGGTGTTTCCATCAGAAGTGGGTCACACTTGAAGTGCATCAGGGCAATATAGGTTTATTTGAGTTTTCCAACTCTGCAGTTGGATTGAAAACTTGAAAATTAGTAGGTATGCTGTTATAAACAACACCAAACAATAATCGATAATTTCCAATCTACTTACCTGATATATTTTTAGTCATGTTTTTAGTCCTCAAGCTATACAGGGTGTGCCAAAAGTCGGCAACTTCCTTATTTCTGATAGATATACCTACTTTTCCATTGGCTTATTGGCCCTCTATAATTCTGATCTCGATTCTGATGGATTGGGATTACCTAATTCATGTCAACTTTCCTATAATTTTCGAGACAAACTAGGAAGAGATTGGACAGGACAAAATTCTTACAGTCGACTCCACCAAAGCTATACTTTATTGTAAGCAATCTTACAGGGACATGTTTCGAAGCTTTAAAGCTTCATCATCAGCATTATTGTTACATAGGAGTACTAAAGTGAGAGAAAAAAGAACAATGTCAGACAAACTCTTCAACAACGATAGGTCTAAAAAACTCACCTGTTCTGGAGGAAAAAAAGTTATGTTTACATATTATTCATATTATTGAAAATGTTTTAAAAAAATTATGAAAAAGTAAAATGGGGACCGCAATTATTGCGGAACCCCTTTGTTAGGGAACTTTAAAAAACATGTTAATTAGTATTTAGAGAAAATCGACAAAATTATTATCTGTTTATGCCAAACTCTCAAAAGACAAGAAAAATGAAATGTCA